TGTCTTAAATTTTACTTAACAGATTATGTATGTTAAGTATAGTAATTGAAAATAAGAAAAGTTCAAATGACTTTTGAACTGTGGTAACTTAAAGTTTAATGAAATAAAATAAGGTGATAGGATATGTCCTTAAGGCGAAGTGGCTTAGCCACCCATCTTTCACCTGTCATCTTTACTTGTGAGATTAGTGGTTATTTGGTTTTCACTTATTTTGAAGTAACCTTCTGAGTTGTCGAATGTGTAAAAATTAGTACATTTTTGTTTTCCATCCTTTTGAGACTAGTTTTTTACTAAAATTTGAAATCTACTAATTTTTGAGTAAAAGTATAGCCATTATTTTTATGTAATATTTTGTCAATTGGTAAAAGCTGTCCTCCTTATCATTTCAAAGTTGTGTGGTTGTATGGAACCAGAATAATATACTAACAATAAAAATAAATGTAGTATTATTTCTCTCACTAGTTACAGGCATTTTCTTTGAATAATAGTTTTTCAGTTTCTTAAAGTGTGTTTCTATATTTACCTCTAAATATGAACCGTGTATGAAAATGGTTTAAACCATGAAATCAGCTGAATTAGGTGATATATAATTTTTTTTTCTGATGGTCAAATTTGTAATTATGAATTTGGTCATGAAACATTGTATGTGTATAGATTCGATACAAGGATAGAATTTTCCTACATCCAATATTATTGTTCCTAACGTATTAATATTGATATGATTATCGGGTATTTTTCTGCTGTGATCCTATATGAAGCTGATTTTACAGTACTTTCTGCATATTCTACTATGCCAATGGGCTGTCACATTAGTGCTTGATTCCATGTTACCAACTCTGGTTGGCTACCTGCTGAAAATAATTCCTTAAGTGGTTGCATATCAGATTTGCTTGAAGATTAGGTATGAATATAGTAGGCTGTATACAAGAACTGAATGAAGCAGCAATAAACAGCCCATTTAGTGGAATTAAATAGAAAGTGCAGAGTTCAAAGTAATAAATAATAACTTAGAATTCATGTGCTATAAGAAGATAGAGAACGAATAGTAAAAACGTTAATTTAATGGGGTCACAACTCTTTTAAGCTCACCAAAATGAAACTATATAAATTGTTACTGATTGGTCATTAACTTTGAATTAGAAACATATGCTCTTAGTTATTTTAGCACAGCTCATTTAGGATGATTTATACGGGAACTTACTCAAATGGTATATTGCAAATAAGAAGCTATAATGAAGCAAATATCATTATGAAAAACTAAGAAATTGTAAGATTTATTATGTTCTGGAGAATCAACTTGTAAGAACATGTGTAGCAGATTGGTAATGACTGAGTGCTAAGAAAAAGGGGCTAACATGTAAACATCAACTCCACAATGCAGAGGATGATATCAAAAGAATGGGAATAACCTATTGAAGAACTATAGCTCTTAGCAAGATTGATAGAGAATTGAGAGAGAGAGACCAAGGATTATTGAGCCATATTATGTAGTATACTTTGTATAATATAAGTGTCCCCCAAACTAAAGTATTGAGACTGGTAGTGTATTTGATGGTAATTGTTCATCTTGTGTTAATGGGCTAATCGTTTATTAAGTTTAGAAGGAAGTGAAGGAAAACTAATATTGCTCATACAAAAAGTTTCTCGTAATGGAAGACAAATCTAGGGCATGCGTATGGGCCTCCAAGGCATCTATCAAGAAGAAGCAGTTAGATTGCAGGCGCGGCAGGTGACGGGTTGCCCCCAGGGAAGCTACATCTCACCACTGTTGTGGTGTCTGATAATGAATGACCTATCAAATTGACTGGAGGAAGCTGGGATCTATGCCGAAGCATTCGAGGATGACGGCGCGATCCTCATCAGGAAAGTTCATGAAAACAAATTTTGAAGGAATGCAACATTGTTCAGACATGGTGTACTGATTTGAACTTATCAGTTAACCCATTAAAGACTGAGTTGATTCTTTTTACCAAGAAACGTAAACTGGATGCCTTCAAGAATCCAAAATTCTTTGGCAAGCAGCTTCAATTAATTGGTATTACCATAGATTCAAAACTGAACTGGGGACCACATTTGACAGATGCTAAAAGGAAAACTATAATAGCCTTTTGGCAAGTAAGACGTGCTGTAGGCATAACTTGAGGCTTTAACTCTAAAGTCATGCATTGGATATATACGGCAATAATTAGACCTAGAATACAATGCGGAAACGTGGTGTGGTGGGTAGCCCCAAATAAGGCGAATGTTATGTCGCATTCAAAGAATGGCCTGCATTAGCATTACTGGGGCATTCCGCACTACATCTACAAAGACCCTGGAAATCTCATTGACTTCGCTACACCTATGGATAATAGGGGAGGCGGCTATGGCATTTTTAAGAATGAAGGATAAATACAGTGGAAATTAACAGGGACACACAACGGTCACTTAGAAATAGCCAAGAAGGTGGAAAAAGAGTTACCTATCGTACGGTACCTCTCAACTCCGCTTGTTAAAAAACTTACTTTAGACAGTAAGGTTAGCTACCTGTACCCTAACGTAATAGATTGGGCACAGGGTTCAGTAGAAACTCAAGAAAGACTCAACTAGTTTGAAGGGTGCAGGAGTCTATATAGAGAACCTCGATATAGAATTAAGGATGCCACTAGGTAAACATGCTACAGTATTTCAAGCAGAGGTGTTTGCTATACTTTCTGCAGCCACCTGATCAGAAGTTACTAATTGCGAGAATGCTGTCATCACTATCTACTCGGATAATCAGTCGGCACTACAAGCATTGGAGTCTTCCAAAGTGACTTCCACACTGGTGGAAGAGTGTAAACAGGCTTTGGAGACACTGGCCTGCTTCAAGAGGGTGGAACTAGTGTGGGTGTTACCTGATCACATGGGAATTAAAGGCAACGAAAAAGCCGACGCCCTTACAAGGAAAGGAGCGGAATACCCTATTGTAGGTCCGGAACCTGCAATAGGAATATCCAAAAAGCATCAGCGGAAAGAAGTCCTTGATTGGACCCGGAAAAAAGCAGGTGATGGATGGAGGGAATGGGCTGGGCTTAGACAAGCGAAACAATTTATCAAAAGCCACTCTCCCTCCAAAACAAAGTGGCTGCTGGGCCTAACTAGGAAAGAAATCTGACTCATCATCGGAGAACTAACAGGCCACTGCAGACTCAAAAAACATTTAAAGATATGTGGAACAGTGGATGATGAACTCTGCAATCTTTGCAGAAGTGCACCTGAAACTGCCCTCCACTTCATAACAGAATGTGATCGATTTGCGTTACTCAGATACATACTTCTGGAAGCCGACAATCCAAGTATGCAAAGCTAACTCCATAAAATGCCCCAACCTTTTGAACTTCATTAGAAGAACAAAAAGATTTAAGATAGAGTAGAGGTACAATAGACAACCATTGGTAGTATCATCTTTGGGGTTGGCAAAAAGGTCCAATAGGCCCTCTTGCTGGACTAAGTCCCTCCACCATGTACCAGTACCAGTACAAAAAGTCTGCCTTAATGGTTTAGAAATAGTGTGTTCCTACTATTAGTGTACACTAGTCGTGAACGCAGCTAATTTTTACGGAGTTATAAATTGTAAAGAATGGATTTTAGGTTTGGCAGACAGAAAATCAAATGGGATTTTAAATGATTTCTTGATATGGTTGTTGGTCGTAATGCAAACGAAATCGCCTACCCTTTTATTTGACATCGTGATCACTCTTATTTCTGATTATTATCATCCCAAGATTTGTTTGCCTTGTACTTTCTCACTTCTGGCAGGCGCAGTTCTCCCCAAGTACCATTACTTAACCGTTAATTACAGCTTAAATTCTGTTAAACTTTAAGAAGCACCAAAACTTTGAATGCAGATAGGATGCGCTATAATAACAAAGAATGGTATGTTAAATAGTATAGTGGAAGACCATGTCCATCACTTTTTGCTGGAGATGACAGCACAATTGTACTTGGAAATGAGTTAACTGATTTCAATTTTAATAAATTATTTATTTATTAGACTTTTTCCATAACGACTTTTTTTTCTCTCCTTCCTTGACTTTCAGGCTATATGGGATCTTCCGGGCCAGGTGATGAGGGAGGAAGGCGGATTAATGCCAGATTTAAAAGACCCTCCGGCACCACAACGCGAACTCGAAACTACATATTTTTTGTTTTATAACTTCAGTAATCAGCTTGCCGGGCAACGCGCGGTGCTGTGCACACGCGTTAACTCGCTCGGCCACGGCCCTCCTTTTCATAGCGACTAATAATTACAAGAGAAACAAGCTGTTATACGTAGTCAGTTACAAATAAAAATATCAATTACTTTGTTTCTTTATGTTTAACATCCCTATGAACTCCAACTATGACAGGAAGAGCGGATTATCCTTGATCGGAGAAAGTCGAGATTCATTATATGGGTCTAGCACGAAATAAATGTTAACCCATTCAAGCCGGTTTAAAATGTTAGTCACGGCCCCCGCTTCTCAATCGAGGTTGCTAATATGACTTTTTAACACACAGACTGTGGTATCAATTTCGTATTTAGAACTGCTCGTCACTAGTAGGTATTTTATAAAAGTCTGCAGGTTTTAAAAAAAAAACTTTTGTTCTCATCAAAAGTTTGGTATATCCTTTTCATCTTACTGGCTCTCATTACGAGGATAATCAATTAATTTTTTAAAAAACTACAGAGATAATTCTGAAGAATAGTCTTGAAATGTAAAACAGTATTTTTGTTGATTCGATCAATCCATCTGGTCTCTGGCCTTCCACGTGGTCTCTTGTCAGGGATGCCCATTACCTCCTCCCTCATAGTACGTGATGTGCAAACCACCCTCCTCCTCCCAAGAAACGTTGTTGCTCTCCTTTTCATCAAAACAATGGTAGTAAAATAATAATTAGAAAAATTCTTGATCATATACAATTGTACTTGCGGTAGACTGTTCCCTGGTTTGAAAACTCACAAAAATATTGTTCTATCCAATTTTTGTCATTGAATCCTTCCTCTTTGGAATGTGGAGTTGAATGTACAACCTTCTCTGATTATTAGTTCCTCACGTGTATCTATCAATTTTGTTTTCATTAAGTTGTTGATTTAGTATACTGGTTTTAAAATGCCGAAATCGAAAAGAGACAAGAAAGGTAAATATATTTCATTATTTCTTTTTTACTTTTATTGCATAATAAGTTTGTTTCTTAACTATTTACCTATGATGATATTTATTTTCTAGTTTCCCTGACTAAAACTACTAAAAAGGGACTACAGTCTAAACAACAACTCGTAGAAGATATAAAGGATTGTTTGGGGAAATATAAGAATGTTTTTGTTTTCACAACTCCTAACATGAGGAACACTCAACTGAAAAGTTTAAGAGCTGATTGGAAAAATGACAGCAGGTGAGTTTCATCTGATATTTTAATTTTAATTACTAGATTGCACAATTCCTATGGAGTTCTATGTTTTGATTATAATTTTTAATTCACTCCTTCACGACTACTTTATAGTACCAGCCACTTTGAAAGAATACACACACTCATAAATACTACACTCACCTCACTGTAGGTACCACTATATAAGTGTTATTCCAGTATGGCTGTTGCGTCAAAATTACTTTTAACTGCTATGTAGATGGATTTCTGAAAATAGCCGAGGGTCTTTGAAGGTAGGTAGAAGTGAGGATTCTCTTGGTGAATCTGTAATCTCAGCTATAAAGGGCCTCTTGAGGATTTCGTTATCATATTTGAGCAATTGTAAGTCATAAGTTTTGAATTATGTTTAGTGAAGGTACATCTCTGTGGATTGTTTTCGATTCTCAGCTACCTCATGTAGAAACATTAAGAGTATACCTACTGACAGATATTGCTTATAAATAATTTCATCAGTGAAAATTATTTTATTATTATGTAGCTAGTTTAGCTGAGAATATACATTAAATAGATTTTATAGATAGGTATGTAATAAATCAAGTATTCAATGAAAGCAGGTGATTAAATTGAGGTAGATCAAATCGGCTTGTAAAATTGTTGTTCTTTGTAACTAAAGAATTCCTAAAAGGTTAATGTTTGCTGTACGAATGGTAAACGTCTGAGGGGTAGACCGAAGCGAAGGTAGGAAGATTGCGTTAAAACTGATCTGAAGGGACTGGACAGGCAAAACTTAGAGGGAGGTGTGTAATAAGCAATTGGTGGTGTCGGCATCGAGCCTTTGGATTCGCTAAGCCTTTTATTATTATTATTAAAGGATACTATACAGTCAGTGGGTCACCGATTTCAACTAAATTTTTTTTCGGTGATGCTATTTTGAGAAATATTGGAAGTAATTCAGCTATTCAATGGTTGTACCAATATTGAGTTTGGAGAAAATCCTGAGGATTTATGAATGCTTTAGTTATTAACCGGAGAAAAATCCTTTAAAAATCAAATACTGAAATTTGCAATTTTTGATTTTCATAAAAATTTCTTTTTAAGAGTTTAAAAGGACACTAAAAATGAATCTAACTTACTTTTTCATAACATAAATGTTTTAAGCCTATTTTGCTGGAAGTGTCTTGATTTTTGTAGTTTATGATATAGCCAAGGATATTGTCACTCATTTATATCATAGTAAATATTTTTTCTTATTCTGTATTTTTTTGATAACACTAATTATTAATTATGAACTAATTGTTCTTTAATTATGGCAATTAAGTAACCACTTTTGACAAAATTTTATTTTTAATCACTTTCTAAAGTCTCTTTAATAACGAGACACTCAAAACATTGGGTATTTTCATTATTGTTATTACTCATTTTTTAAATTTAGTGAACTGTGTTTGTACAACAATTTGAAAGTAAATGACTAATTACAATAGATTAATTCAAGTTGAAATCAACATTTTGAATTTTAGATAAAAAGGTGAATTTTGGATAAAGCTTTGTGGTGTTTATATTGACAAAAAAAAAACAACTTTTGAGTGCTATTAGTGTTTTTCGTTCCAACCTATTGTATATTCCCCTTGTGAGTTGAATCAGCTAAACCTCTTGTGTGAAACCGACCTAAGTTATCCTTAATTACTTTGTTTCTTAGTCGGCAAATATCTGTGATGAGTGTATTTAGTGCAATTTTGTGAATTTTTATGAGTATCTCTAAAGAGCTCTCTTTCTCACTTTCTTTGTGTCTAATGGGCTAAGTTATGTAGCTATTACATAGATGAAAATTCCTTTGTGAATCATGGATTGAAACTCGAACATTGATATGCACCTGTGAAAATACCAAACTTTCAGTTGCTGTTGGGTTTACATCCATAATTTTTATATATATATTATTGAGTATCTGATTATTAGTTGCTTTGAAATAATAACACGGGACCCCTTGGTCTCATCCTGCCCTCCCCTCTCTCTAAGACGGACTTATCTACTAGCAAAGTATAGATACTTGATGACGAAGCATATAGCCACACAGCTCACCCCACTCACTCTACCGAATTCACGGCCAACGGCTAACAGAGAGAGAGGGATACAAGTATAGCCCTTCGGCTGCACGTTATGGCCCTCGGGCCACATTTTATTTTATTTACATTCCACCCTACCTTGCCTGATGGGCCATACGGGCGTTTGCAATAGTGGGCTGTTATGCATGACTGCATAACAGCATACTACTGCAAGTGAAACAGTTTAAAATATATTATCTTTGGTGACGTCTTATCAAGGGTGTCCGTCTTCCGGCGGTCTTCTTGGTGGTGGTCCTCTTCTCCGTGCTCCGATGTTGAAGTGGGCTGGACCCACTGCCTCCTTCCAGTCATAAATGAATTTCTTGAACCGAGGGAAGTTCTCCTTACTTACCAACTGAGGAAGTTCATCCTCTGTTAGGACGTAAATTCCTGCGGTTCTCATCATCTTTGCCCTTATTCCTTCAAATGTAGTGCAGGCCGTGACCACGTGCTCGACAGTCTCCAGAACTCCACAAGTAGGGCATTGGGGATCTGTGTCCTGGTCAAAACCATGTAGCTTAGCTCGAAAAATCCCATGCCCCGTGAGGAACTGTGAAATCCAATAGTCTGGGAGGATCCATTGTGCATCTAACCGCGACTGTACGGTGGGGAAGTATTTTCTGAGAGTACTCCCTTTCGGGGTAGCTACCCACCGACGGCTCCATTCCTCAATCGTATCCTCCCGGATTATCTTCTTCCATTTGTTGGGACTTTCCACAATCCTCATCCGTAGATTTTCTGGAACTCCAGCCAAGCCTTCTTTCTTGAATTTATGCTTGGTCACATCTTCTCTCAGGAGGAGGTCGAGAGGTACCGCCCCCGCTAGTACCTGCACTGCTTCATGTGACGTCCTAAATGCTCTGGTGACACGCAACAGGGCCATCCTCTGGATCGACGCCAACCTTTTTCGCTGTCGCTGTGTGAGGTTCCTATACCAGGAGAGAGATGCATACCTCAATATACCCAGCACAACGCCTTTATAGATCGTCATCGTTGCAGGGTATCTGAGGCCCCAGAATGCACCCCACCCCCAACACGACTGAGTCCGTTCAAGGCTTGGGTCACCTTAGTTGCTAGATAATCCAAATGAGGTGTTATATTTAGGTCTTTTCCTAACCTTACACCAAGATATGTTACCACCTCACTTGGGCGTATTATTTGACCTTCTATATTTATGCTAATGGGGTGTGCTCTATCAGTCGTGCCTTTCAAGAGGATGGCTTGCATCTTTTCAGCAGCCATACGCATTTTCTTTCCCTCACACCATCTGGCTACAAGGTTGGCGCATCGCTCTGCTGCTAGTTTGATCCCCGCCCTGCTGTTGGATGCCACCACAGCAGCTAGATCGTCAACATAGGCAGTGGCAGAGAACCGCTCATTTTCAAGCACTCCCAGCAACTCATAAAAAACCAGCTTCCATAGAGCAGGACCAAGTACTGATCCCTGAGGGCATCCCCTCTCTACGGAAGCTTCTACCTCGTAATAGCTGCCTTTGATCTTCACTTGCCTGTCCTGAGGCCCTCTGGCCACATGATTATTATGGTGAAAACCTGAGACGGCTTGGGCAAGCGACGGCATCGGGTGAGAGGTGACGGACCACAGGCGTAAGACTGGCCCCTCGTCAAATTGTATTTCAATATTACTATAATTAATTAACCCACTAAAACTGATTGCCCCTTCCGTGACATTAATTGGAAGTTATAATAAAAGGAAATTAGCAAAAAAAGTAGTGACATCATTCACAGATATTCTTCCAACGAACTTTTCATTTTTTTTTAATGATTTTTGCATCAATTTATCATATTTTTAAATATGATTTTTGCAAATAACACACTGTGCCCAGGTGCCACTGATATATTTGTTAGAGCTGGTATCTATTATTTTTCATGTTTGGGAGAATATTATTTATGATAAATCCCTAACAAGCATCATCTTGTTCTTTGAGAAACTCCAAAATTTGTATTAAACAGAAAGTAGTTTAACCAAGTATGTACTTTACATTTCATTTTTAATATTAATTTTATTTACATTTTAGGATGGTGCAATTTCTACACATATTACAAATTTACTTGTCCTGTTGGAATTTTAGTTGATATTTCTAGTCTAACAGATCTTGTACTGCCATCCTATCCTCCCACTCGGATCCTCTAATAGCGTCCCGGAACCTGCAAAGACACCTCTCCTTCATTGAGCAGTGGTGCAACAACTGGCGCATCAAAATTAATGAATCAAAATGCAAACATGTAACTTTCACTCTTCGACGCAGATCCTGTCCGCCAATCCTTTTTAATTCAATTCCTCTTCCCTACTCAGACACAATCCGATACCTTGGCTTCCTTCTGGACAAAAGACTGACTTGGAACCCACATTCGAGACTTAAAAGACAAGATCTTAACCGACGATTTGGTCAGCTATATAGACTACTAAACAGAAAATTTCATCTCTCAACAGATAACAAATTATTAATCTACAAGACCATACTGAAACCTATCTGGACCTACGGACTTGAACTGTGGGGGACAACTAAATCATCGAATATCAAATGCATCCAATCCTTCCAGTCCAAAGTCCTTTGAACAATAGTCAATGCTCCATATTATGTCACGAACAAGACCCTACACCATGACCTTAACATCCCATATGTCCATGACATCATCCCATCCAGATTCTCCAACTTTCACCAGAATCTCATTCATCATTCCAATCCTCTAGCGCAATCCCTATACAGCTCCGAGCATCCATACCATCCCCCTCGAAGGTTGAAACGGCAGTGGCCTCGAGATCTTTTGTAAATATGCCTTTGGAGTCCTGGCAATGGCCAGCTTCTCCACTCATTTCCTGAGCGTCTGTGGCTGTAGTGCCCTCTTTCAGTCTCCACTGGCTTCTAATACTAGTGATGCGGCTGGTAAAGTGGCACTGGGATCTTCCGGAGTCTTGCTTTGTCTTCCGCGTGTGGGGGGAAAAGCCTGGCTTGAAGATTTTTGGGCAAATGTATATATTGTATATAGTTATGATTGTGTTTAGAAGTTTTTATTTTATTTGTTTATTTTTATTTTTAATTTTTATTTACCTTCTTCATCAGTATTATTTATTTACTTCTTATATTTATATTTATTTCTTTATTATTTGTATATATTGTATGAATGAGAACTTTTAGCCCTAATGCTTATAGCCCTCCAGCAGTGGCTGATTGTATTATTATTCAATAAATAGATTTAAAAAAAAAAAACAGATCTTGTATTTTAATTAGTAAAAAAATTGTAATGTTTTATTTTGTTAGTTTATACAAATGCCTGAAATATATTTTTTGAGCAATGTATTTTGAAATTTCTTTGTTATTTATTGTTTGATTAGCCTATTAAATTTATAGTGTATTTGTTTTAGGTTTTTTTTTGGAAAAAACAAAGTTATGACTCTTGGCCTAGGGCGAAAAAAATCAGAAGAAGTGGAAAAAGATATTCATTTGGTTTCTAAATTTGTCAAAGGACAATGCGGCCTTTTATTTACCAATAAATCTCAAGAGGAAGTAGTTGAGTAAGTACCCTAGAAGTATTTTGTTTGATGTGTATTATATATAAACATGAAATACATATTCAATAGTAAATTTTTTATTGCAGATATTTCAGTAACTTTGTTGCTTATGATCATCCACGCAGTGGCTTCATTGCAACAAAGACTGTAACACTCCTTGAAGGACCTTTACCAGAATTTCCTCATTCCATAGAGCCTCAATTACGGCAATTAGGTCTTCCAACTAGTTTGCAACGGGGTGTTGTCACACTGACTCAAGAACATTCTGTTTGCAAGGAAGGAAAACCTCTTACTCCAGAACAAGCTAGGATATTGGTTAGAAATGATTTTTATTTTTATATTTTGTCATGCCAAATAATTAATTAATAGTTACCTACTTATAGGTATGGTTTCAAATTTTAAACCATATTTGCAATTGTACTGATTATGGATTCTCCGAAATGTGTATCTTTCAAATTATTTGAAAATCAATAATAAATGATTGGTTTTCCAGGGGCAATCTGTGCAAATTACTTCAAAAAATTTTAATTTCTTTTTTTTTTTTGGAAAATATACTTCTTCCATAAATTTATTTGATTAGATAAAAAGCATATTAAAATGTTAAGATTTTGGGGCATCGTCCTTATCCATTGAACAATTCATTGTAGTATAATTTGTACATACTAATTCATACTATTAAAATAAAAGATCATGGCGTAGTTTGGTTACTATAGCTTTAAGTTTATAACATTCTGTGGATATGAAACTACTGTTGGACTTTTAAATTTTAACTGTATTACGATATTGGTGAAAAGCAGCATTTGTTTGAAGATAGGGAACAAAATCCCCTGAAAAAAAGGAGAGGAGAAAGTAAAAAAATAAAATCAGGAGTTTTGGGAATTGGGGATTATTTTTCATGATTTTATGATCAAATTATTAACATTGTTGTTTTTAAACTAAAATCTCCATTTCATTTTATTTTTTACAAATTCTTGTGTGTGATATAGATCTAATTGTTCTTGCCCCTATCGGTTGCATCCTTGATTCTGTTTTCAGTCTTTCAACAGTTGACTTGTTTTCTGTGTTTTTTACCTTGTAGGTTTGCAATAAAAGTTAATACAGTAAATATCACACCATGAAAATTAAGCTGTTCACCTATTTAGTTAATTAATAGGTCATATTGAGAGTAGACAAGATTGATAATTTTTGTTCTTAAAATACTTTTAAAAAACTCATTCTTATGTAAATGAATTCATTGGATATTGACTTTAGATTAAGATAATAGAACATCTTGGTTATAAATTTATTTATTTTTCTCTTTTTTAGAAACTACTTGACAATAAAATGGCGGAGTTCAAAGTTATTTTGTTGTGTTCTTGGTCTAAAGATGGATTCGTTAGCTATGTAAAAGACAAAAACAAGCTCAAAAAAATAGCCAATGCCTCTAATAATGATGAAGATGAGAGTATGGATGAAGATTAGAAATTGTTTTTTGTATATAACTTTTATTTTTTTAAACATTATAATATTAATTGTACAATCTGTTTTGTTTATATGATAACCTTTATCTTTTTTTGAATAATTAACCCGTTGTGCTTCATTGATTCTGCTCTTCCTTCTTTATTTATTTAATAACCAAGTACAAATAGACATGTTTGCAGAAAATTGGGTAATTATAATTATTTTAAAAATGTTAGGTGTATTTTGAATATAAAAATCCAAGTTTTTGACAATGAAATACTTGTCCATTAAACACAGTATTCCAAAAACCATAGAATTTTGAAACTATTTTGGTTAAATATCTGTTCAGTGATGTAGTTCAAACATGTTTATATTCAATATCAGAGTATGAAATGATTTCTCCATCTCTCAGTGACCTCTTCTCTGTCTCCCAGTTGAGTTCCATGCAGAAAGTTATTCACGGTTAGAATCCTTTTCTTAGTATTTTCATCCTTTGATAGAAGTTTCTGCTGTTTTTACCATCAAAATTGTCTATTATTACATTTAGATCCTCTCTCTTCCTTTTTTTCGCTTTTCAACTTTTTTTTGGTTGTTTATCTCAGTTTTGCATAGTTGTTTGCCGCTGATCTGGTTTTTCTCTGTATTATCCTTATATATGCCTTTTTATTTTCATCAAGACAATTTTGGCACTTCTGGTCAAAGTCAAACCATTGGCTGTTCTTATTCCCCACTTCTTCTATGATTTCTTCATCAGCCTTTAGAACAGATCTCTTAATTTTTTCCCATTTATTTTTGATCTTTTTCTGCTCTTCCTGTTGTCCATTTTCTAGGTATTCTTCAACTTTTCTTTCATATTCTTTTTGAATGTCTGTCATTTTATTATACTTACATAACAGTCCTTTTTGTTCTTATTGCCAATCTCTTGCCTATATTCCACCTTCACTAAGAAATGATCACTAACTACCTCATCTCATCTGCAGCTTCTCACATCCTCACTATCACTTTGGTGCCTGCTTTCTCTCATAACTTGATCTAATTCGTATTTGGTCTTGCCATCCAGTGATTTCCAAGTTTCTACATGGATATGCTAGTGTTGAAAAGTGGTACTTACTTCATGTTCTTATTGGCTGACAAATCTACTATTCCATATTTTTTTTTTTTTTTTTTTTTTTTTGTTCTTCCCTACCTCGCCTTTTAGGCTATACGGGATTTTCCCGGGCCGGAGGGTGAGGGCGGGGAATTTAAAATCCCCTCTGGCACCTGGATGCGAACTCGTACTTTTTTAATCATCTCAAATCTTTGTTGTCCGGTTGCCAGGCAACTCGCGGTGCTGTGCACGCGCTTTAGCCCATTCGGCCACCCCGCCCCCGAACTATTCCATATCTATTATCATGCGCAGCTTTGTGACTATATTTTCCCTACTGATTTCCCCAGATTCTTCTCTCTATCAATTTTTCCATTCAAGCCCCCCCAAAATAATTTTAACATCATATTTCAAACTCTTGACATAGGTCCTTTAAGTTGTTCATAAAACTTAATCACCTGAACTCACTGGGTGTGAGGCATTGGAGAGAAGTGGCAGACGATCGGTCTGAGTAGAGGAAAATTATTGAGGATGCCAATTTACTTCACTTCACGGGCTATAGCCGAAGGAAAAAAAAAAAGAAAAGGAAGTACCAAATAGGTACTGCTATCTGGTGGCAGGAAAAGCTAACGAACCCAGGTCTTAAAGTCGGTATCTCTCTCATATTCCACATAACAATTTTTAAAAATAGCAAAGTTGATCATGCCGGAGTCAGCTTCCAAAACCGAATCAAAGATTTTTAATGACAGGCTGTCCATCAGAAGTGGAGCTGAGCTGAGCGCAGTTGAGGGGCATAGTAAGGATTAGCTCAGTTTAGCTTTGGCCTAACCGAGGTTCGGTTTTGGAAGCTGACTCCGCTATGATCAACTTTCCCCACTACGCCTACTTACCAATGTCATACAACTGTGGGGCTTATCAATGTATTATAATTCTTAATATATTAAGAATTCTTAAACAATTGTGTAAAGGAAAATATTCAATTTTATACAAAAATATTCGAGTTTTCTTTTCAACTCCGGCATGATCAACTTTGCTATTTTTAAAAATTGTTATGTGGAATATGAGAAGGATACCGATGCAAGGCAAGGTGCTGACTGAGCTGAGCTTTCAGTGGCCAATCAGCCTAAAGCTCTAGATTACAACTCCTTTGGTATTATTTATAAAATCCCAATAATTTATCTGTTTTATATTTCACCTAAGATTTAGTGTCTAGTTGGATTTATATTTATTGTTTTCTAATTTGTATTTTTTACTTTCACTTACCTATATATGAAACACATAATAATGGACAGTATTTCGGTTGTGAACATTTTCGACTCTTGAGTTTTCAATGGAAATACATCTCCTGAGTCCAAATAACTCGTAATCTTGCAAAATGGTCTGTGTTTATGTGTACGTATGTGAACAGTCTAGCTCAAAAACGAAAAGTCGTACGAAAATAAAATTTCATATTTAAGGTTTGTACATACCTTGTATGTTACAGCAACTTTTTCGTAAAAATCGGCTAACCGGAAGTGCCACTTTATAGCAACGGTGAAACACATTTTTACAATTTTCTCAAAAAAGGCTCTAAAATTTTTTATTAAACTTGAGGTAGCACTGTATAATTGAGTGGTCTTTATTATCATTTAGGTCTTATTCCCATTGATGTCACTTTGCAGGACTTAAATGCCCAACGTTCATATAATTCTTCCTCTAAAGTACCTTTAATATGGTTTATTTAAAAAAAATTAACTCTCTTTTATTGACAGTAAATATAAAAAATGGCTAAATATGAAGTTTGAAAGAATATGATAATTGGAAACTGCAGCAAAAAAGAAAAATGCTTATCCAGGTTGAAAATGAATCTCCGGAAATAATAGTCAGAAGGTATACGTATAATATATCGTTGGAGAGCAGAGAATTTTAGAAAAAATAGTATCAAATAAATAAAGTTGTAGAAGGTAACGGAGATTGATGAAAAAAATATAAATAATAATTTCAGAAAACTAACATTATATAGCGTAAATCACATATTTCCAAATCTCAACATTATCCACTTACAATTAGTGTGACAACTTTTGACCTATCCATGGTAGGCAATGAAAATTGGTAAACTTTACAAATGAAAATAACAGTTTAATTAATAATAGTCTTACAATCTATAATCCATTTGTAGGTTAAATATTCAGATATACTTTCAAATCTCTCTAGACATATATGAGTCTTTCGGTTGACATAATGACTCCAATTTCAACATTCTTTATTATTAATTTTAGTGGTGTTTCTAGTGGCATAATGTATACCTTTATTCGCACTTTATATTTCAACACTGCTATCACCTACTCTGTAATCACCTAACTCACTGTCTGTATAGATATAACTTTTCCAACAAGAAATATCACTAACATGACATTACTCAAAAATGTTGAAATTTGAGTTAGTCATTCTGTAAAATGAAAGGCTCAGAGACTGAGGTGTGGTTTATAAAAGCAGATGAGATGGAGTAACTAGATTTTTGTTGCCTACTGTCGATATAATAAATAGACTTTTTGTAATTTTAATGGTTTGTTATTGTAAGCTTTAAGCTATATCTCCGTTAAATTGTACTTCAAAAATTTTATAATAGCCCAACATTGCCAGAAAATAATTTCTGTTCAAAGTAGAGCGGTAAGTGAAAGTTGTATGTTGCGCACACCAGATTATTTCTCTTAAAATGGCATTCTTATAATAAAATTTATGCCATAACACTTATTTATGCAATGATTATCCAATATTTTTTATATATATGTTAGGGATATTATATCCTCAAAAAGTTGGTTTATAATTAAATAAATACTTTTTATAGAACTTGGGAGCTTTATTGTTGCATCGTTAAATCTTGAAAGAGATTATTATCCTATGATATAAAACAGTGAAGTATTCAGAGTCACATCTATTTATAAAATCTACTGTACCAATTTATCTATAAAGTCAATATACAGATTTTATTTGTCCCATCTATGATTTTGCCTTTGTTATATTTGATAGTTGAACAATTTTTGTCAGTTTTCATCAACACAATAATATTTGAATCCAGGCAAACTTAACTTGGACATTCTTTTGTAATTAGTTCCAAATTTTTGTGAGGATAGTAGGAAATAAATCTCTTAAAAAAAGAAATATAAGTTTATTCATAATTTTCGAATGCCTTTTGACATATAAGGAACTAATAACTTCAGCTAGACAAACTTGGCAAATAATGTTAATTAAATTTATGTATTTATCAGGGTAACTAACATACAATTGAAATAGAACATTCAATTTCACCTAATTAGGTTTACGAATAAATTTATTATTATTAGATTATAATTACATATTAGCGATTTAATTTATAGTAAGTAATTTAGGACGGAAGTACATACAGAAATATAATCGAGAATAATATGTTACAAAAATATAATTTACAATAATACCTGACTCAGCGTCACTAGATGAAATTGTATGAATAAAAAAAAAAAAAAAAAAATTGTATTATCTAAATATGAAACTATACTAACTGCTATATTTACATCAAGCTCACTAAAACAGGAAGTTCAATAAAAATCTAAACTTTAAAATTAAATTCTACAAATAATTTAAGTACACTTTAATGATATCTATACAAAGAAATTGTGTTGAGCGAATATAACTCATTTTCAATTCATTTATGAAGGGAAGACTTTATTTACATTAAAACAAATTTTTAAAACGCTTTAAAAGCCTAGATTTTGTTAAAATTTTCTAAAATTTGTCATTAAGTTTCTTATTTATTTTATATTTTCTTATACGACTAAACAAATGCAGTACCACAGGTTTCATTAATAATCTTTGGCCATGGTTTAGAATAAGTGTAATATATTCTATATGTTTCCTCCCCTCCTCTTTCCGCATTTCATCTCATCTGAGTTGTCTCCACAATCGTCATGCCCATTGCAAACATCTCTCTTGACTATGCAACGTCCATTACTGTAATGCAATTAGTGAAATTAACATTTTGTTTTCATTAGCACTGCCACATGAATATGAAAGAGCATGAAACTAAATCGACATACCTGCATCTCCATTCATGATTTTTGCAGACTCCACCACACCCAAATGGTTCGTCCGAATGGTCTTTACAGTCAACAAATCCGTCACAAAAATTTTTACTAGGAATACACTGACTGTCGTTGCAGGTGAACTGTGTTTCATCCAAACAGGCTGTAAATATAAATTTAGTTAAACATCATGGTAGTTTAGTTTATTTGTTTTGTTAAACAAGGATTTAAGGCAGAAGTTCCTCCAAAATGGTAAAATATAACCGTGTCTTATGAAAAAAATATTTTTAAACGTATTATTGTTCTTGTAATTACATTTAATATGACTTCAACAATCACTTAAATACCATTTCATACAGATTGTTAGTTTCTTGATTTTTCTTTTAAAGTAATAATTGTTATATATATATATATATATATATATATATATATATATATATATATATATATATATATATGCTGGATCCTATAGTGACCCTAATTAAAAGTAATTCTGTAATTAGTTTCTTGAAACTGAACTGAATTTAACTGAAGTTGTGAAGTTTTAAATTCCCTAGTTTACTGAATTCTGTACTCTATTAAACTTTTTTGTTTCTTAATTTTTAGGGTAACTGAATTAAATTAAAAGTCATTATCTTCTGAAATTAGAATGTATTGCAATTTAATGTTAATATTATTTTTTTTAGAATTTAATTTTAACTTTCATAAATATTCTATTTTAAGTTTTATCTTCATTTTATAAATTCTAATTTTTACTTTCACTTATCTATATATGAAATATATAGTAAAGGGAAAGTATTGCGATCGTGAAAATTTTCGAATCTGAGTTTTCGAAGGAGTCCTAATAACCAAGTCCTGCAAAATGGTCTGTGTATGTGAACAGTCTAGCTCAAAAATGGAAAGTCTAATGAAACTGAAATTGCATATTGAAGTTAAGTATAGACCTGGGACGTTACGGCAACTTTTTCTTAAAAATTGGCTAATATTGGCATTTCATATTCTCTAACGATTTTGGTTAAACCAGTGTATCAATATATAATTAAGTAGTCTTTAATATCATTTAGGTGTTATTCCCATTGATGTCGCTTAAACAGGCTTAAGTGTCTAAAGTTCAAAATGTCTTTCTCTAAAGTACCTCTAATTTGGTTTATTATAAATAATTAACTATCTCTGATTGGTATGAATTATGAAAAAAGGCCAAATATAACTTTTGACAGAATTTGATAATTGAATAAAGCAGAAAAAAAGAAAATGCTTATACAGGTCGAATCTGGAAGTAATAGTCAAAAGGTATATGTATAATATATTGCTGGAAAGCGGAGAATTTTAGATAAAATAATAGCTAATAAATAAAGTTGTAGAAGGTAACAGATAGTGACAAAACTCATATAAATAATAATTTCTGAAGAATAACACTATTTAACGTAAATCACATATTTTCAAGGAAATTAAATGAAATTTTCTTACTAAATGTAAACATTTAAAATTTATTTTAAGTTTGAAAAAAAAGTATTTAAAATCCACATAATCAAGGCAATGACATTCTTTAAGATACTATTTCATTGTACTTGTGTGAAAGAAGAAGTGAAATATACAAATATTTCATGGATATGTTTATAACCTTATATATATTTACTGCAGTTTAATAACTCTAGATTTGATATTATATTTAAATAATTAGATATCTATAGTCCATTTCTTCTGAAAAACCATCATGTAACCTTTTAGAAAATTAAATTAGTGAATAATTTGATGAATATTCCCTTGGTGATATTCCAACAGTATTCACTTACAATTAGTATGACAACTTTTGACCTATCTATGATCAACTGTTGATATAATAAATAGGATTTTTGTTATTTTAATGGTATTAATGATTTGTTAGCTGTAAGATTTAAGCTTTAGCTCAGTTAAAAATGCACTTCAAAAATTTTATAATAGTCCAACATTGCCAGCATATAATTTCTATTCAAAGTAGAGCGGTAAGTGAAAGTTCAGTGTTGCGAGCATCAGATTTTTATTACTAGGTAAGATTTAATTTTTCTTAAGTTTATTTGTGTGTTATGCACTACTGAGACTAACATTGCATCTTATATTCAATTTTAAAAATTATAGTTGCTAGAATTATGAGTTTTATTGCTACCTATGGTGCAGTTTGATTCATCAGCAGCATCCCAACAATCAACAATCCCATCACATCTTTTAGTTCTTGGTAGGCAAGAAAGATTCTTACCGCACTGAAAGTGAGTATCAAGGTCGCAATCTGCAATTATGAAGAACACTGTAGAAATCTTATATTGAACTATAATATTTTATTGTACATCTGATAATCATGTTATATTTACCACAATTGTTTTCATCTGTGTGATCATAGCAATTGAAGTGACCGTCACACCTTTTTATAAGCGGAATGCAAAGAGAGTTTCCACACTGCCATTCGTTTTCCAAGCATTTTGAATCATCCACACACCTAAAGGTTTAGACAAATAGACATATAAGCATTTTAACTAAAAGGTTGAGAAGTATGTTTACAGAACTTTTCTACTACTTAATACAACTTTATGCTTTCTTTGTTCTGATAAATTGCTAATTTAACAATGACAATTATGTTGCTTAAAGTAGGATCAGGCAGAATATTTAGACATTTACATATCTATAAACAGTCCGATTCTTCTTTTTAGTATATGCTTTTTGTAAATCTTTTTAATACAATTACCAAATATTATAACAAGGATGCATTTAAATATAGCTTGTCAAATTTGATTTACTAATAAATATTTAAATGAAGCACTTAATTAATGATTTAGGAGTGCTTCAAGAAGACTTAGAAATTGGTATTTTTATTTTTGATTGTTTTATTATGAATGTATGAAATATAGGAAGATGAAAATGACCTCCCTAATTTTTCATTTCTACTCCATGTTCTATTTTGATCTAATCTATTTTATTTTTCATTAAAAATTAATTCACTATATTTTGTCATAATCTTAGGCACATATTTTAATAAAATTAGCAAAGGCATTTTCATCTTCCTATACTATTACACATTGATAATGACAGATAACCTTCATGATGAATAAATCATATATCGTTTTTAATTATTTGAAGGAAGGAGTTGCCTCAGAGGTTTTGCCATCAAGAGTTTTGAGGTAGGCACATTTTGATTTTTTTTAAGGGAGAGGGGAGGCACATTTTGAAGGGGTTATGAATTTTCAGATTAAAAAGTTTTAAACCAGAGGACAAGGAGAAATCATGGAACAGCAAGTGTAATGACATAAGATCTACGATTTTTCTAATTCTACTTTCACTTGCACTGTTTTTAAGAAGAGATAAATGATAAAAGATGAAATATGTTGGGAGGAGGAGATGCTCATGTCCCATCGATCCTGGAAGATTGACCTAATTCCAAAAAGGAACATGCCCACTATGGCATTTTTTTCACTAGTTGCAGCAATGTGTAAAGAGGTTTTTTTAGTGATTTGATTCATTCTTAAAAAAAAAAAGATTTAAAACCAAATATACACTTTGAAATAGGTAGGAGTGCTCCAGACAAATCAAGATTAATAATTATTGAATTTAAATGATAATTATTAAATCTCTTTTACAGCTTATTACTCAGATTGCATTAAATAAAAATGTATATTGGAAGAAACTACTGACTTATTTATATTAATATATATATATTAAGCAATTAATATGTATTAAAACTTACCTATAAGCCCCTTGCCCCAACCTATGACAAATTTCAGTGCCCAGTTGGCACAAACCTCCGCAACCCGTAGGGTCCTTTTGGTCAATTATAGCTTTACATGTTGGTACAGTATCACCTTCCAGGGCTAGGCAAACTTCACCTATGGTGCACAATGAACAACCTCCTGCTTCTGTAACTAGAGAAAATTAATTCTTTTAATTACAAATAGTTTATGATTGATTTTAAAAACATTTTTGGATTAATACATTAACACTTTTTAAAAAGCTGTCCTTATTAGTTAACCCAAGCTGGTCTGGTCTGTGAAAAAGTAGTTACTATTATAGTCACTAATATTTGTTTTGTTTTTTAACTTAATGAAAACTGATAATAATATTTCATTTCATGTGAACATAAACACACAGTGCTTTATTGAAAACTGTTTTGTTTTATGAGCTACAAAAATTTTTGTATATTTTTTTGGACATAGTTTATATTTCTAAGTAAATTTTGATTGTTGGTCTGATTCAAACTATATGAGTTGCCTCATATCAAACATCGACATCTGTATTTTTTAAAAAGTTGAGAAAAAACAATTCATAGCTTCAATTTAAACCAATTCTAAGAATTTTTTTGCATAGTTCAACTTGAAAATTTTGAATAAAATCATCAGAAACAGTTTGAGTTGAAATTATGAAATAAAAATTGACTTTGTCTCAACTTTCTAAAAATGACAAATATTTATTTTTGATATAAGGCCACTCATATTTTCATATTACTCACTGCTTTAAAATAAATTATTGTCTTGAAATGCATTTAAATTGAAATAGTAAAGAATTGGACATAGACTAAGAATTGGACATAGTGAGTTCTCGCACGCCTACCTACCAAGAAGACTTGATCCTCCGACCTGCGAGAGCTGTAATGTCCGAAGGACTGTAAAACATATTATATAAGACTGCCCTATATTTGAAACTGATAGGAAAAATGATGTAGAGATGGTTGACCGTTGATATAATATGAGAAGGAGTTTGTCGGGGGTGCGGATAAATACTAAATTAAAATGTAGTAATTATTTTATTTTAATTTTGCCGACGTTTCGACCCACTTTGCAGGTCATCTTCAGGGCTACAAAAGATACAAAACATGTTGAGAATAAAAATTAAATATAAGTAGATATAAAATAAGAAGAAGTTGTCAGATACAGAAATAAATGATGATATCAGAGATATAGTGGGTGACAATTATAGTAAAATATTAAGTATTATATATGTAGAAGATACAAATAAATGGAAAATAAGTATGAATAAAAATAAAAATAAAGGAGAATATAGCATGTAAGTTAAAAGTAAACAGATTGCGATAAAAGATAAGGAATAAGTGTGTAATAAACTAATAGAGATTACATTAGATAACTGTGGGTTAACAGATAAAGAAAATGAATGTTAACGAATAAATAGATTGAAAATTGAATAAGTAATGTTACAGTAAGGATGTTAAGTATATTACAGGAAAGATGTTGGACATGGCACAAAGCCTAAAAGAAAATGTACAAGACAGAGAAAGATCAGTTAAAAAAACATTAAGATTCTTAAAAGCGATAAAATTTTATAACAAAGTTTAATTTAAAGGTGTTACCAATGACCCTACAGGGTAAAGACAAAAAAAAAAATAAAATAATTATTATTTATATAAATAAATTGAAACAACCTTCAACTTGGGACTACCAAGTTGATATATGTAAAAATTGTAGTCGATTTTTCAAAGTGCCATGAAATCCTTACTTTTTGTTATTAAAACAAGGCTCAGTAGGCAAAGTTCTAAACCATAATGCCCGTAGAAATAAAAACAAAGAAATTCTAGTGCCAATGTTTATGAATATGGAAAATATTTTTTAAATTTTTATAACTATAGGGTGTCATATATCTCTTGACCATCAAGACTGGTTCTAGTTTAATAGGTATTGTAGATGTTAAACTATTTTTTAGCAGTGTTAATATTTAGAGAAGATGATTGGTCAGAATGTCATTAGCAAAATAGAATAGAGGATATAAAATAAATATTCTTACTTGTGGATGTCAAACTCAATGGTGGCGAACGTGTGGAAGTCGGTTTAGCAGTTGTTGTTGTAGAACTCGTAGTGGTAGGTAATTCTGTTCTATTAGTTGTAGTCGTAGTAGTAGGTGTAGTAGTACTATTAGTAGTAGTAGTTTCTGATGTTTTAAAAGGTGTAGTTGTCATTTGACTTGTATTTGAAGGCTTGGTTTCAGGTGTAGCCAAATCCTTATTTGAAGAAGAGATCATTTCTGCAGTGGGCAATGTTGGTGGAGGCGTTGTAGTAATGCAAGGCTGGAACTCAATGTCCTTGGTATCCTGTTTGGATATGGCTTGGCATGGCTCAGATCTGCTCAGTTTAAGGCCATCCAAGCTAAGGCAAACCCTTCTTCTTGTTCTCACTAATTCATCCGCCCCAAACAGCATGCAATCACTCCAATCTGACCACTGTGACCAAGAGACCTCATCTGTCCTGGCTGTAACATAAAGTAGAATAATAATTCCTAGTACTCTTGAATAATTCATTAGTAAATTTAGGTAAGACGATTATTTTTCATTCAATTATAAGATTTTATAATTAGATGAGCATTTATAAATTATGCAATAAATATTGTAGTAACCTTGTGTATGATTAATTTACTAAATTTCATATATTTGTAATAGTTTTTAAAATTTTACTATGCATCGAAGAAACTTTTACGAGCTGGATTGAAGGTGTTTGCTTGGGCCTAAATTTGGAGAGCCCTGGTTTATAAGAAAAAGTACTAGATTGCATGTGTAACCTTCGTACCTTGAATTTGTTTACTATTTTATTTAACGATCTGACAAATTCCATTAACTTGATTAACTCAAGGTGATATATAATTTAATAATGAACTAGAGTAAACAGCTGAAGTTCCAGAGGGAAGAAACAAAAACCATATTTAATCATAATATAATATAATATATTGGAATTAAATCAATTTAACATAAGAAAACATTTATTTGATTGAAATGGAATAAATAATGAAAACTTCTGTAAGCTTATACTCATAAAAGAGATTAAAAGATTTACCATTTACCATTATATGACTCAGTCATACTAATGTTCGCATAATTGTTACTAGTATATACTAATATTTACTTCCACAAACCTTGGAATCCAATTGAGAGAACATCAATAGTGAAAGGACCAAGCCATAGGTGACCATGCGAGTGATTCAAGCCCCCAAGAAAAGCTAAACCTATTTTTCCTATTGTGAGGCTATCTTTAGGTTGGAGGGCAAGGCTACACCTGACCTGGAGTCCTGGCGAGAAACTGGTCACTGCAACCCCTTGCATTTCTGCCCACAGAACAGAATTGGCAAACAGAAGTTCCAACTGAAACAAAAAATATATAATATATACATACATATATATAAGTAATGAACTTTACTATTGCTGTTTATTTATTAGAAAGAAACAACTATTAATAATTAATTATCTTATTTATTATTTTTTTTTTTTCTGGCTTTCCTAGATTATTGGTAAGTTATTAATTGGTTTCTATTAACATTAGACAAGATATTTTTGGCAAGATTTCCAATGATTGGTTTTACAGTCATGGATTTTATAATGGAAGAATCTATTTCAAGCAATATGAAATTTTGTGACAATACAACATGATAATATATACTACAGTTCTTTATTTTAAATAAATGATATGATTCAAATTTTTTTAAATATAAAAAAACAGTAGATAGAAGCGAAGTTTAAAGATTCACCTTGAAATAAAAAATATTCCTTAAGAGTAAAATAAGTTTTTATAGTCCAACATTATTAAATTTTCGATTTAATTTCAACATAAAAATTATTCAAAACAAGTTTTAGATTGCATAAAAAATAAATATTTCAAGCTGATCCCAGATCGCATTGTGTGAGCATGAGCTTTAAGAATTGTGATTTTGTCTTGGATCCTAACTACTTAAACAAAAAGTGAAGATAAGTTTTATTTAGCTATGAGTCATTTTATACTCGTTACAACAACGCGAATTTGTTAAAAATCTCAAACTGCTTCAAATTTTTCAAGTTTAATAATATTAAATAGTTGCAGAGAGTATAAAATATCCATCTTAATTATGAATAAATGAATTTTTAAAAATAATAGCTTTAAAATATAATGAATGATCTTTGAATTATAAACCTGTATTCTTACAATTATATCTCTAACATCGGAAGAAACGTTGATCCTTTTATAGGTTGGTCCTTTTAAAAACTATCTATCAGTTTACAGCAGGGGTGTCCAAACGTTTTGGCAAGTGGGTCACATTGATACCTCCACTAAGTTCCGCGGACCGCATTGGGACTTCCATTTAAGTCCCACGGGCCACGGCTTGTGATGAGAACTAAATTTTTAATCTTTAAATGATATTTTAGTTTGGAGCTTTCTAAGAGAAAAAAAAATGTTGTAGTAACCTATTGTATGAGTAATTTGCTAAATTTTATATTTTTTAAATAGTTTTAAAATTTTACTATGTTATCAAAGACACTTTCGCGGGCGGATTGGAAATGCTTGCGGGCCGTAGTTTGGATACCCCTGGTGTGTAGTAACATTCCAGAAAGGCAGAGGTGTGCTGTAATAAAAGTTATGTCTGGGCTGTTTTTTTTTTGTTTTTTTTTTTAGTAACATACATTTTAGAAATTATTTTACGGTTATAAAGCTCCTATCAAAGCAGTTAATTAAAAAAAAAATCATTGCTTCTATTGCAGGGAAAGAGATCTGATGATAATTATATTCATAACTGCCTTTTATAAGTGATGATAAGATATTCAACAAACTGTTTATGGACGTGTTTTCTTACTTCGTTCTCTATTCGCTTCGAGAGCTGTTTGAAGTCAGGCGAGAACAAATTGTACAGTGATGATCTGAAAGGTTCGTTCATGATCTTGAATTCTCCGCTCACAATCAGTTCAGCTGAAACAAAAACAATAGTGAGTTTAATATATGCGTGAATATAGATAGGGTGTGTCATATAATGTACATATATAATACATTAGTCCCACTAGCGGATCCAGGATTTAATTTTGGGAGGGGGGCTTCAGCCCGAAAGCTTTTTTTTTTTCATAAAAATAACGATAATTACTTTAGAAAAAAAAGAAAGAAACTAACTACCTGTATGAAATGGTGTTTAAGTGATTCCTAAAGCCCTTTTAATATTAATCATACGAACAATAATACTTTAAGAAATACTTTTTTAATATTTTTTTTCGATAAAACATGGTTATATTTTACCATTTTGGGGGGAGGGGGGGGGCTTCAGCCCGAAAGCCTCCCTTCCCCCGTAGATCCTCCCGTGATTACTCCGGAACTCCTCAATGGCCTGTGTTATTAATTGTGATACCAGATAAATCGTCATTTGATAGCAATAAGTTACTAAGTTAATTTTTGAAGGAGCCGAACTTCAATGTTTAACTTATTTAAAAATAAAAAACACAGTAAGTGTGTCAAAAACACCCCTACTCTTTTATACATCAAATATAGTTTCAACATGTGTACAGCGTTCTGATTTCATAAAGGGAAATTTCAACAAAGTTTTTACCTATTTAATGTTATGAAATGTCATTTAATGACTTACAATAAATCCATTATATGTTTTAGATGAAGATTTATTATCGCACTCTACCTAAACCTAGCTCTATTACTTTTTAATTTCTGAGACCGAAACAACTTCACCACTCCTATGTTGGTTTTCATTTTCAAGACTTTTCGACTGGAGGTCAACATAGTGATGTAAAACGCCAAAATATCTAGAAAAATAAATAAATAAATTGGAGTGATGAAATTGTTTTTTTCGGAATAACTTCGGAACCAGTGCCGGCCTTAGGGCGATGTGCAACCGGGGCAATTGTTGGCGAAGGGAGGCGCCTGCCACTTGTTCAGAATAAAAAAAATTATTAAGTGTATAGGAATGATTAATGTGAACCTAATTATAAATCTAATGAATTGGGGACATATTGAATGAATTAAAATTCAAATACTGCTTAAAATAGAACAGTTTGAGAAATAAATGTAATTTTTTTGGAGGGGATGACGTCATTGTCCGAGGGCGTCAAATGTTCAAGGTCGACACTGATCGGAACAACAGGAATCCCAAATAAACTCAAGAGAAGACGATAATAAATTGGAAATAATCCAAGCTATTCGTTTCATTTCTCTTGAATGCATACAAAAAAAAAAAAGAATAAAAACAAACGATCGATAATGATCCTAGCCAGCAATTGTTTTGTGTATTATTGTACTCAAACTAGAGTAGGAAAGAGGGATAATGTTGGGATTTCCATCCAGTATTTTCCTGCCGGAGTGCGAAGGTCGAGTCCTTATAAGTCGGATCGGGATTTACATGTTGCTCAGGATACGCTCAATTTTCACTGCCTATATTTCAATAATAATAATAATTAATAATAATCTCATCGCAAACATATTTATCTATAGATAAATTTTGATAAATGAAGGTACTTTTCGACTGAAGGTTGAAGGTGCATTCTCAAAGAATTCCCTTCTTTCCTGAGGACAATTTTCCGTTGAGGAAACTCGCATAAAAGAAACAAGGACAAACTGAAGTTATACCGACAAAAGAGTGTAGAATACAAGGATCTGTTAAGAGAGGACACGCCAAAGAAGAAAAGGAAGACAGAAGGAAGAGGGATTGCGTAGCTAAAACAAAGAAGCAATTTAATCCCAACCTCCCCGCATTGTCACCCCTGACCACTCGCCACGTCACGGTCGCTACTAATGATGTGAGCTTTGGCACAACTCTTCTATATTTAGGGCTAGGCAGTTTATTTTTTGCACCATTTTAGAACTTTTCCAGTATTTAATATTCCTTGCCAATGGTTAGATAAATAGATGATTTGATTTTAAAATGATTAAAATGGTACTCGAATTCGTAACACGTATCACGGCGGTTTAATTCATTTCAATACATACAATATATTTCAACACTAATAACAGCTGTTTGGTTATTCCAGAGTCTGGTTTTTATGGTACTAGTTGAAAGGAAGCAAGAGCAAGGAAAATTGTTGTTGAGTTTTTTTTTTTTAAATTAATTTAGGTTGACTATCAATATTGTTAAAATGTTGAAGAAGTTGGTGATTTGGGCTGCGGTTAGAAGTGAAACACCGTAATGTACCATACATTTTAATGTATGCCACCGTTTAAGTATAAGTAGTTGGTCTTAATGGGTTAATATGAAAAAAATAAAAATGGATAATATATTATCATTATATAAATAGGCAAAGGTAAAACAGTTCAGTCCCTTTTTCTCCTCTGCTTCTCAATCAATCTCCCCTCCCTTTTTTTAAGTAGCTATTGACAAAAAAAAAAAAAAAAAATAGCTAGTCTTAGTCTTAGTCTTAAAAAATAGCTTTTTTTTTTATTTTGAGCTATTGGTTTACTGTCATCAATAAAAGAAAATAAAAAAATGGAAACAGTGTGTATAAATAAAATTGTAAAAGTGAGATTATTCAAATCAAGTTCTTCAGCAATTGCTTTGAAATTTTGATACAACGTTGCAATCGAATTCAGCAGTGTTTTGTATACATTTCATTACCATCCGGCCTTTCTTTTAGAAATGGCAGTCGAAAAATGTGTGTAAGCGCCAAAATGACTGTAACGATTTTAATGAAACTTGGCTGAAGTCATCCCCTGGAAGCCCTTTTAATTTATCTATACATTATACTTCCTCGAAAAGAGGCTGAAAAAAAAGTAAAGATGGATTCAGAACTTCATTCGTGAATAATTTATAACAACACAATATTTGGTTTATTACATCTATGAGTATGTGAAAGCACCCTAAATTTCATACGAAACGAAAAAAAAAAAATCATCCAAATTGAATAGAATCTGCGAAATAAAAATGAGAGAAAATACTAAGTGGCTGAGTTTTATAACTGACGCTCTTTTTTATATTCGCCATGTAATATATTTATTTAATTTCTTGCTTATTTATTTTTTATTTTTTTTTTAGCCCTATTGAGAACCTTAACTGCAGGAAACGTTTGCAAAAATTTTACATTGCAGTTTTTTTTACAAATTTTAAATATAGTTAAGATTGATTTTTATTGGAAGAATATTAATGTAAACTGCAAAATCAAGGACATTTCTATTATTGCTTCATGTGTATATATACTATTTATATACACACTCAAAAAAATAGATAATATAAGAAGATAAATATGTAAATAAAATAATAAAAACAATTAAATAAATAGATAACAATAGCAATAAGACAAATATACATTAAAAGAATAATAGAAAGAAAAAATAAAATAAAATCACTGAAAAAATAATAATGATCTACTAAATACCAGTTATTAAAGTTTCAGATTTTCTTTATCGCTCTTTAAACGTATAATATATACACGATTTCATCGAATATAATTTATTAGTTTCAAGCCAATGTTATTATTACTTTTTGTGTTATGTTTTTATTTTTGTTTAAACGTTTTATAAAAAATACGAATACTTCAGCTGATAGATAATTATGATTGAATCGCCATGAAATAATTAGACTTAATAAAGGCAATTTGCATAAAGTAATTGAGTTCGCTTATATCAAAACAAAAGGCTTGAATAATTAAAAGAACAAGAGATAGAGAAAATAAATAAATAGGAAAACGTTTATTTTTTATGAATGGTGTTTCATCAGGTATACCTCTAATAAATTTTTTAAAGGAATTCAATTTTCAGAAGATACGGTAGGAATCATTGTATATTGATTCGCTTATAATTTTTTAAAAATCTATTTGTTTATAATTTTTGAAGAAATTTATATTTTCAGAAGATCCGGATGGATGTATATAATTTTGTTTAATTCAAAGGTAAATGATCTTTTGAAGCTCGTTAGAAAAATATTAATTTATAAGTACATTAATACATGAATGTTTGTATATGTAGGTATAAGAAAAACTTATTTGCAATATTCGCAATTTATAATAATTCTATTTTTTAAAGAAACCATACAAGTTAAATATAGATTTATATTTAATATTATAATTATAATTTAAGATCTATTTAAAAAAGAAAAGAAAATGCTTCGTGAGCAATGGCAAACATTTGATTCACTTCGACATTAACCTCTGACCAGCTCAGCAGTCCTATTGTTCCGATTTCGACATACTCTTGCATAAGCTACTTTATCGTTGATAACACTTCAATATTTAAACACTAGTGCTAAGTTAAGCAGTAGGAACAATCAAATTAGATTGACGAATACCAACCGTTATTATTCAGAATACTAAATTGTTGTTTATATGAAGCGAAATCGTGGAGCTGAGATACTCGCCAATGATTTGAAAAATCTAAACAGTGGGGAAATTTAATGTTTGAAAACATACATCAATCGAATAGAAAAGAAAATCATTATTGTGATGAGTTATCGGCCTGTGAGCGCGAGTGCTGTTTGGCTGCCGTATCTACAAGCCCATTACCAACTATAACCACGTGACTGGGAACCCAAATAAAACAAATACATTTTCCCAAATTGCCAAGAATATGAATATATTTGTGTATTTTTAGAATAAATGTATGTTTTGAGCACATGTCGTTTAAACTTTTTAATGAATTCAAGGAGTCGGTTATCAAGACTATTGTGCCTGGAGTTATTGACATACACAGAAGTGGAGGGCTGAGGCTATTGCGTGAAGTTCCGCAGTGTATATGCTGCTTAGCTTATGTAGTTTTATTTTATGGGTGGAGTTATGGATAACAAATGAAGAAGGTGTAGCATCATCGGATTACGAAGCATCGGTGTAAATTAAAAATGGTTCCGAAATATTTTGTAGAAGACGAGAGAATTCGGTTTTGTACTCAGAAGGTACTGCTTTTGAGTAATTTTTGAGTTTGAGTATTGCTTTTGAGTAATCGAGAGAGACAGAGCATAATATCTTGGTGTTTTAATCGTTTGTATTAATTCA